AAAAAAAAAAAAAAAAAAAACAGTCAAATACACAGAGATAGAGAATAAAATAGCAGCTACGAGGGACAGGAAGGGAGAAAATAAGAAGATGTAGGTTAAAGGATACAAAGTCACAGATACATAGGATCAATAAGTTTAAATAGCTAATAGATTACATGACGGCTATACTTAATATTGTTGTGCTACATTTGGGATTTTTGCTAAAAGAGAAGACTTCAGGCATACTAAAAGTACCTAAAATGAGCACCTGTGTGAGATGACAGACAGGTTAATTTGCTAGACTATACCAACCTCTTCACTATCTACCTATCTATCTATCTATCTCAAGGCACCATGCTGAACACCTTAAATACATACAATAAAATTTAAATAAAAAGAAATAGATAAGAACCCAGCTCATTTCTGCAGACCTCATTAAGCTGACATTAACAAGACCTGCAGAAAAGTAAAACAATGCTACTCTTCTTTCTAAATTTTTTTTGTTCTAGAAGAATTATTACTCATAAATATATGCTATTATGTTAAAATGTAATTAAATTTTTTAATAACCCAATATTTTTTAAATTTGTGTTTTAATTTCTAATATAGTAAATAGATACTTACAACCCACATTGTAAAAGCTATTTAGGGTCCTTAATTTTTATGAGCTTAAAGGGGTCCTGAGACCAAACAAAGTTGAGAACTGAAGATACAGGAAATTACTAAACAAATAAAAAACGAAGAACATATGATAGCGCGAACCAGTTTCTGGGGTGTTTTTTTTTTTTTAGGTTCAGCAGGTATGTGTACAGGTTTGTTACAGGGGTATATCATGATGCTGAGGTTTAAGCTTCTATTAATCCCATCACCCAAATAGTGAACATAGTACCCGACGGGTAGTTTTTCAACACTTGCCCCCTTCTCTCCCTCTCTCCTTTTGGAGTTCCCAGTGTTCTCACCTTTCTGTCTATATGTACCCAACGTTTAGCTCCCATTTATAAGTGAGAACATGCAGTATGTGGTTTTCTGTTCCTATGTTAATTCACTTATGATAATGGCCCCAGCAACACCCATATTGCTGCAAAGGACATCTCTCTCTTTTTTATGGTTGCATAGTATTCCATGGTATACATGTACCACATTTTCTTTATCCAATCCACCATGTATGGGTTGAGTTGATTCCACATCTTTGCTAAGGTGAATAGTACTGCAATAAGCATACAAGTGTGGATGTCTTTTTGTTAGAACAATTTATTTTCTTTTGGGTAAATGCCTAGTAATAGGACTGCTGAGTTGAATGGTAGCTCTAAGTTCTCTGAGAAATCTGCAAACTGCTTTCCGCAGAAGCTGAACAAAGTTACATTCCCACCAATAGTGCATAAGTGGTTCCTTTTTTCTGCAGCTTCACCAACATCTGTTTTTCAGTTTTTTAATAATAGCCATTCTGACTAGTGTGAGATGGTATCTTATTGTGATTTTGATAGAGGAAACAAGTTTTAAGATGGAACAGACAAAGGCAAATGACTTCTTGAATTATAGATTTAATTTGAACTTGTTATCAAAAGAGATAAAAAGGTTCTAGAAGTTTAAGTTATTTTAATCAGGCTTTTAAAAGCAAACCATGAGAAGATATAATTAAGAAGTACTTCAATTTTATGAGACTATTTATTTCAAGAATCTTATTGTTGGGTACCTAAAGATGAAGAGAGACAGGAACAAGACTATAAAGCACTTTTAAGGGATACATGTATTTCCTCTTAAACCTCTTCATTATAAATGATGTGGAAGAGAATAAGGAGAAAAACTGTTTAAAATGTAATTATTTCTATTATTCTAACTGCTAAGATACAGAATAAGGTGCTGAGTAAAAACAAACTAGATACATTAGTTGCAAGACTATTTTGTTATTTAAATTACTGGTAATATTACCATCTTCCGGCAAAATCTAGTATTGCAATTTTGAATGACAGAATCTTAGAAGTGTTCACCATGCCTTTTTTTTAAGATGGAGTCTCACTCTGTCGCCCAGGCTGGAGTGCAGTGGCGTGATCTCAGCTCACTGCAACCTCTGCCTCCCGGGTTCAAGTGATTCTCCTGCCTCAGCCTCTCAAGTACGTGGGATCACAGGCATGAGCCACCACGCCTGGCTAATTTTTGTGTTTTTCTTTTTATAGTAGAGACAGGATTTCGCCATGTTGGCCAGGCTGGTCTAGAACTCCTGACCTCAGGTGATCCATCCACTTCGGCCTCTTTTGATAAAAGACAGTCAAGTATTTTCCTCTTCCATATCTACCACACCCTCATGCCAACCATAAGTTAAAAAAAAACATTTAGCATTCTGTAATAAGTAAAACAGTGATTAAGAAAACAAAAGTCCAAAGGAATGTTATTTAAACAGAGAAGGGGATGTCCCAATGAAACAGCAGTTAAAAATTAAAGCATAGCCAAAAACCCAACTGATGAAAAACGTTTCAATGTGTCAACAATTAAAACTGCCAAGACTAATTCTTACAGAGCAAAATTATACTTTATAAACGCAGTATTCAATAAAACTTGTATTTGGTAATTCAACATTCATTGTTAATTTATTCAGTTTTATATGTTAGAACTGCTGCCACATGTAAATTCTCCCACTTTGTAAGAGAAGAAGTACAAGCATCCTTACAGTGTTCTCTTCACCTTGGCCCATGTAATGTTCATGTGAATTTTTCCAAGCATGCAAAGAACTATCTACTTATTATTGATAATCTAACCCAAAATCTACCCTCACTTCTTGCAGACTACTCTGTTGAATTTCAGCTAAACCCAACAAAACTTGTTTGTATGTGAGTATACATTTATGTATACACACGAGTAACATAAAGATTATAAGAATCAGAGGAGAAAGAAAGGAATCAAGCATACAAAGATAGAAAACTCTAAGTTTTATCTTTTATTAGCTAGCCCCTTCCAGTTTAAATTGATAAGCATAACATGGACAAATATTTCCCTTAAAAGCAGAAGTCTAGATTGCTAAGTCCAAGAATAAAGATAAATGCACATGATCAATTTCTAGCCACCATTTTATATATCCAAAACAGTGAGGTAGCCTGAATAATCTCCATATTCTGAACTCTACATTCTGCTCCCAATACATCAGATCTATAACACAAAAAAAAAAATAAAATAAAATAAGAGAACGAGAACACACAAACTTGTGAGCTCTCATCTTTCCCTCTGCCACTTGTAATCCTTGACTAGACCCAATCAAATTATCTGAAATTACCAATGGGTGCTTCCAACAGGCAACAAACTGTGTGACTTTCCTTTAAAGAAAGGCTTTATCATCTTTGTAAAATTTAATATTTAAAATAAAAACTAGTTTGAATAACCCGAGTTTTTAACCAATAATTACATGCGGCAATGATTTATACTGTGTTCATTTAATAGAAATGATTTAGGTGTCCAAGCCTTCTCACCCTAAGAACATTACTCTGTCTAACTGAAAAACAACCCCAAATGAGAATTTGTTCTGAAGATACTAACAGTACTCATTTACTAACGGTATCCAACCTGTTGCCGATTGCAATGTTTGGTGCAAGCTGTGTGGCAACTGAAGAGTAAACAGAGGTGATTGGATGTTATTTCTGAAGAAGTCTTCTGTTGCTTTAGACTGCAAAACCTTGGTTTCCCAGAGCTGCAGAGGAAAAAAAAAAAAAAAGTTTACTGTAAAATAATATATACATATATAATGATACTTCTTTTTTTTTCAGTTTCTTAAAAACTAGCTTGTCATCCTGATGGCACAATGAATGGGTAAGTACTAAACTATAATTTGAGAGATCAGAACTGCATCAGTTTTGTATGCCAAAAAAACAACAAAAGACAGGAAGAAAAAGTTGTATCGGCTACAAACCTGCTTCAAGTCTTTTAAAACTTGTTCCTCTATACCTTCTTCAGCAAATAGATTCCGAACTCCTTCAATTACATCTTCAATTACAGATCTGTAGAGTTTAGACTATATAAAAGCAATTGTCAAAGTTTTATTTTATTTTATTATGTATTTATTTATTTATTTTATTTATTTATTGAGACGGAGTCATGCTCTGTAGCCCAGGCTAGGGTGCAGTGGCACGATCTCAGTTCACTGCAATTTCCACCTCCTGGGTTCAAGCAATTCTGCAGCCTCAGCCTCCTGAGTAGGTGCGATTACAGGTGCATGCCACCACTCCCAGCTAATTTTTGTATTTTTAGGGAGACGGGGTTTCACCATGTTGGTCAGGCTGGTCTCGAACTACTGACCTCATGATCCACCCGCCTCAGCTTCCCAAAGTGCTGGGATTACAGGCATGAGCCACCGCACCCAGCCTGTTACAAGTTTTGACTTCTCAAGTTTGAACATATTTAGCCTTAAAAGATATGCAGTGTATACCTTCTAGTCTTGTAAAGTTACCATAAAAACTTTTACTAAGTACATTCATATTCCCAATATAGTCTTAGCTTTCCATAAACTGTGTTAGCTTCAGACCCGTAGTTTCAGCCTATCTACAAGACTGAATTACAGGACTACAATAACATATGAGCTAATAATCTCAAAGATGTATGGTTATTGTCATGTTACTTGCCTTTTGTGTCAATATTTAACCTCCCCAACTCCTTTTAAAAGGGAAATTAATGTAAGTCAGCTGGAAATAGATCTTCTGTTTTCAATTTACCTTTTTATCAAAGTGGCCAACGGAGAATTTTTTAGGGTTCACTATATTATTTCCACAAATATAAATAAACTCCAAGCCAGAAGACTGGGGTAAGCACTTAAAATAGAGCAATCAAAGCCCATCTCACTTCCAAAATACACAAAGTCCAAAAAATATATATTCTGGACCACTGTCAAATACAACTGCTCCAAAATGGATATCCTACTAGAACCAAAGAAGGGCACGAACGACCTTACCCGTCCAGTGTACATACTGAAGAGACCAAATAACATTCTAAAATACCTCCTAGTCAAACGTGCCATGACAACAAAGTTAAGCAGATTTCTTCCCAGATTAAACACTAGTTATAGCAAAACAAAAGAGGGTATGTGAAAAAACTCAGCCCTTCAAATCTACATAAACTATGCCCCCAGGCCAAAACGGCAATGCTATGTGCTGACAATACTGACCTAGTGGAAGGTCCACGGGCAAGAAACAGCAAGCAGGAATTTAGTTGAGTTGCTCTTATTTCAAATTGCTTAATGAGGCCAAAATGAAAATGAAAATTGTGGCACTCTAGGATTGCCTTTTCATACTACCCACTAAATAAAAACTCTTAAATACTCCTGTTCATACCAAGAGTAGCTACGCGGTTTTTTTGTTGTTTCTTTGTTTGTTTGTTTGTTTTGAGACGGAGTCTTGCTTTGTCACCCAGGCTGGAGTGCAGTGGCACAATCTGGGCTCCCTGCAACATCTGCCTCCTGGGTTCAAGTGATTCTCCTGTCTTAGCATCCAGAGTAGCTGGGACTACAGGCGTGCACTACCTCACCTGGCTAATTTTTTGTATTTTTAGTAGAGATGGGGTGTCACCATGTTGGCCAGGCTGGTCTCAAACTCCTAGGCTCAAGTGATCTGCCCACCTCGACCTTCCAAAGTGCTGGGATTAGAGGTCTAAGCCACCATGCCCAGCCCCCAAGACTATTTGGTATTTAAAGCTATGTTTTAAACTAATCCTTCTAAAGACCCAGGGTAAGCCTATATGAATAGGCCAATCAGTAACATTTAAATAATGTTATTCACAAGCACATGCATTAAGACTAAATGCCCCTAAATTCGTTGCGTCTTCTAAAACAGTTTATCCTGATAAAGGCATACTAAATTGATACTTCAGTGGTAGTCCCAGCTAGTGTGATCAAGCTTAACACTGAAGGAAAAAACTCTCAGGGCTAAAAACATCTTAACACAGCAGTAGTCAAAAAGTACCATTAGAACACAATTTTTCAAAAATCAAAACACGTATTGAACTTATTTTCTCTTCTAGGACCACAGACTTTGTATTGCTTTCCCTGTTATCTTTATTAAAACTATGTCTAGTCCATCTCAACTCCTCTGTTTAAAACAGACACTACTTCATAGAATTCACAATCAGGTAAATTGGCAAACCTAGTAAGCTTATATTCAGGCAGAGTATAGGTATTTTAGGTATCTTAAAACACACTATCATAAAACAGATATAATTAAAGTAGCATGTCTCTAAATTAAACAGAGCTTTTATACTGCATATATGATAACCGGAACCCATAAAATTACACAGATCTGGACAAGCATATTGCCTTTCACAAAATGTGAAGTCTGTTGAGATGAATTGGTAATAAAGATGAATCCTTCATTTTTGTTCTTTGATTCAGGTTTTGAAGATTGATGGTTTCCTAAGTGCCACTGAGACTAGAAATTCTCACTGTGCAAATTAAGTGTCCGTTAGGGGTAGGAGGGTAATGTAGGTTGTACACTTAAGCATTAAGTTGTTAAAGGACAAAGAAATGGGCGGGTAGGGAAAGATACTAAAAACATGTGGGGAGGTAACTTGAGAATCACATTGTTATTTCAAGCAGTAAATAATACAGCTTGGAATTAACAATGTCCACGATAAAATTAACACAACCGAACTTGGGGGTTTTGTAACATCTAGGAAACCAGGAGGGTTGAGGGGGAGTTCCACCTCTAAACACCCCAACTAGATAGCCTCAGTTTTGGTGAAAAGAGAAAAAGGACACTTGTTGTTTCGGCGGAGCTGGCCCAACTTCCTGCTGAACTACTGGCCCTCATCAGCTTCCTCCAACACAGAGGTGAGAAAGAGCCCCAGCCGCTAAAGAAGAGGGTTTATGACAATCTGTAAAGTGTCAGGGGGAAACAAAAGGGTGTGCAGGGTTCGGCTGCTGTGAACCAGGAGTCCCAGGGCGCTCCCTCTACACAGAGTTTGAGGTCCTCCTTACCACCGGGTTGAAGCAGGCCATGACAGCACCTCCAGCACCTGGCCCTTTGCGCCTGCGCGGCACTCAGTGCACGCAGAGGGAAACACTGGGCACGTTTTCAACGATGTACGTCAGGTGCGCAACCGCGGAGAACACCGGGGGTGTGGCTGGGCAGAAGAGAACGTTAATAGATGGAGCCGGCTTAACTGGAGGCGGGGCCAGGGCGGAGAGGCGGTCGGCCTGTGTGGGAAAAAAGACCCGCTAAAACGGATGGGTAGGTTGGGTCTAGCCGGTTTTGGGCCGTTCACAGGTTGTTTCCTCAATCTGCGAAAGATGAAGAAAATCGAGGAGGGGCAATGCAGGGGTAGATCTCAGTCTAACTTCAACTTTGAAGAAGATGGGGAAAGCAAAGAGGGGAGACTAGTGGTATCTGTCCTCTGCATTTACCAATTTTCATTCTTGCCCCTACACCCCACTCACAGCTGAACTCCATTTTTTGTTGTATAAAAATATAACAAGAGCCAAATTTTTCTAAGACTTGTCGGCATGGTACAGCGGCATCAGCAGCATCTGGGAACTTGTTAAATATGCAAATGATGGGTCCCACCCCAGCCCTCCTGAATCAGACTGGAGGATGGAGCCTAGCATTCTGTAAATTTAACATGCTCTCCAGGTGATTCTGATGGGCGCTGAAATGAGACCCACTGACGAAGACAAAGGGTCTCAATTTTGGGTGCACATTAAAATCACCCGGAGAGCTGGAAAAAAAAAAAAAAAAAGCTTAGTGCCTGAATCCCACTCGGCAGAATCTGATTCTAATATGCAGCCAAGGTGGAAAACCACTGCTAAAATAAAGTCATCAGCTAATACCTTCCTGTCTCCTTTTCCTCCTTAGGCAGAAATCACCAGCTGTCTACCTACAATGATTCTCTCTCCTGAAGGGCAGAGCATCTTGGGGAGTACCTTACCTAGCTAAGCTGAGGGAAGATGTAAGCACAGATAACCTGGAGGATTCAAAAAGGGAAGAAGTCACCATCTGTTGCCACAACTCTGCCTTTTTTTTTTTTTTTTTTTTTTTTTTTTTTTTTTTTGGCAGGGTCTCACGCTGTTGCCCAGGCTGCAGTACAGAGGCATGCCCACAGCTCGCCGCAGCCTCTACCTCCTGGGCTCAAGCAACCCACCCACTTCAGCCTCCCAAGGAGCTGGGGCTACAGGTGTGTGTGCCACCACGCCCAGCTATTTTGTGTGTGTGTGTGTGTGTGTATGCGTGTGTGTGTATTTTGTAGAGACAGGGTTTCACCATGTTGCCCAGGCTGGTCTCAGACTCTTGGTCTCAAGTGATCCACCAGCCCCAGCCTCCCAAAGTGCTGGAATTATAGGCATGACTCACCGCACTTGGCCACAACTCTTCTAAATAACCCTTCTAGCTTGCAAATAGGTCTTGACCTAACCAGATGGATAAGTTATTTGATGATTAAAAACCCTATTAGATTTAAAATTGGCTGTGTATGTATTTATTTGTGCAAGTAAGTGCAGTAGAGCTGTTTATCCCCTACCACTCTGTATGTGATTTGCCTGGGTCAGGTACCTTATGGTTTGTGAGTTTCAAGTAGCTGATTTATATGACAATCTTTAGAAAAGTTTCCTACATTAAAAACTATTAGAAATATCTTTTACAAAAAGCCAAGAAGTATATATGGTAATTTTTAATGGTTATATCTCTCTACCTGGCAATTTACTACTAGGAGTGTTCAAAGTGACTTATCTTTCACCCAAAGTAGGAACCCTAAAAGCAGTCATTGATTCCTACTGATATTATAAAATCCAATTAAATTATTCAAGCTGGGAAATAAGAAAGCTAAAAGGGTCTCTTGTTTTCCATCTTTTTCATAGCAAGGTTTTAAAGCTTTATTTCTATATGCTTAGGATTGGTAATCACCTATCTTTCTGTGACAGCATACTGTTGTACTTTATTATGCATTCTACCCTTCTCAGAACTATACTGTAGATCATGTATATTTTTTAAATTATTCTTGGATCTTGGTACCCATAAAAAGTGTAACTAAAAGTTGAATTGTTATTTTTTAGTACCCTCAGTATACTCAAGTTATGGAAAGGCTATGTAATGTTAGCTGAGAAATGTCAGCAAATTTCCATTTGCCCCTTGCGGTCTGTCTGAATGGTCACTAGTCATTTCTTCCCAGTAACAGGCAATGACTACTAGAGGAGGTATGCTTTAACACAAGTTCTAGGTGAATCCAAGTTGCAAATCTGCCACATGGACCTGTGGTAGTCAGTTTTCAAGATGGCCCCCAGTGATCCCTGCCTCCTGGTATTGACCACTTGATGTTGTCCCCTCCTACCTTGTACCATGGTTTGTCTGGTTTACCAGCAAAATAAAGAAGTAGTAGTAGCATATCACTTTTGAGATAAGGTTTTTCATAGCTGTGGATTCTTTCTTGGGCTCACTCTCTCATTTTGGAGGAAGTCAGCTGTCATGTCATGAGGATACTCAGATAGCTTATGGAAGGGTCTGTGTGGCAAGGAACTGAGACTCCAACCCACAGTCAGCAAGTATGAGAAACCTGCAAACAGTCACATAAGTAAACTTGGAAATAAATCCTTCTCCAGTTGAGCTATCAGATGATTGAAGCCCTGATAAGCTTGACTACATATCTTTGAGTTATCTTGAACAAAATCTACCCTCTAAGCATCTCCTAGATTCCTAATCCTCAGAAACTGTATGAGATCATGAATATTTGTAATTTTATTTGCAGTTACATTTTGGGTAATTTGTTACACAGTGTGAAATAACTAAACCAGTGCCCATTCTCTGATTGGACTGTCCCTCATTGTAATCTCAAGTGTCTTGAATGCCCTCACCAGTCACAAGAGCATTTGAAAAGTATGTAAAAGAATCTTTTAACACTTATGTTTGATAGCTTATCAGATTATCATGAAACATGCAGAATATTATAGTCATAATGGTTACATTTCTTTTGTCAATTTTTTAAACTCAGAGAGGAAGTACGTTGCATACACAAACCACTTTATTTAGAGAGAGAGACAGGATCTAGGTCTGTTACCCAGGCTGGAGTGCAGTGGTATGGTCATAGCTCACTGCAGCCTCGAACTCCTGGCCTCAAGCAATCCTCACACCTCAGCCTCCCAAAGTGCTGGGCATGAGTTGCTGCATCCAGCCCACAAGGTACTTTTGACACTAAAATTGAAATTTCAAGATCCTACAGCCTCAATGAGGCAATTTTACAGTGACTATTTTTTGTTAGTAAATAAAGAATAAAAAAGAAATGCCGAAACTTAGTTCTTTTTTAAGTACTTATTCCTTTGAAATTACACCTCTGCCAAAGCATAAAGCTCCTCCTTAACTGGCCAACACAATTTGGAGCATCAGATTTTCATTTTTCTCCTACTTTGTTTAGAGACCATAATATATAATATATATTTATTACTGGTAATACCAGTTTTTGCAACATTTAAGCAAATCTTAATAATCAGATTAACTTTCCTCCCCGTATGTTCTTATTACTTTTGCCTGGAGGTGTTAGTGATACTCTTCTGAAAGTAAAGAAATAATTTTGCTTTGCTTATTGTGAGCAAAAGCCATATTTATGAAGTCCTTTTGTTGGATAAAAATGTAAAGAAAGGTCGGGAGTGGTGGCTCACCCCTGTAATCCTAGCACTTTGGGAGGCCGAGGTGGCCAGATCACCTGCCAATATAGTGAAGCCACCTCTACTAAAAATACAAAAATTAGCTGGGGTGGTGGTGCACACCTGTAATCCCAGCTACTCGGGAGGCTGAGGTAGGAGAATGGCGTGAACCTGGGAGGCAGAGGTGCAATGAGCCAAGATCATACCACTGCACTGTAGTCTGGGTGACAAAGTGAGACTGGGTTTCATAAAAGAAAAACAGTAAAGAAAAGTATTTTAGAGACAGCCCATTATTTTTTACATATTAAACTTTACAGTCAATTACAAAGTATTTCAATAGTTGTATAGACTCTAAATAGTTATTTATTAGTGATTAAAATGCAAGTTAGTATTTGAGCGTATGACTTAAGGCAGCAAATATTCATAATTAACTTCTGAACACTTTGCAACCAGTGCACTAAACCCAGCAGTATTGTGTTTCTCTGACTCTGTTTCATCCTTTACATCTTACAGGAAATGAAAATCCAGATAATCTCTGCCTCACCCTGTAACTTTGAAATGGTTACAGTGTTGGCAGTTCTGATTTATTTTATACTCTGAACTTTTGTAACATTTTCCATTTTCTAATACAGCTCCAAAATCAACTTACTTTATTTGAAGGTCAGATTCTATTCCACCATGATGAATTCCTCCTCCCACTCCAACAAGATTTCAGTTAAAGTGACCTGTATGACACAATGCAATGGAACACTGTTAATGAGTATGTGACTGCCTACTTCAAAATATTTTAATATTCGAGAGACATATATATTGTGCATGTATTACTAATTATAATTAACCCATAAAAACTATGTGGGATGTCTTCAAACACAATTTTCCTCATCACTACTTTTTCAACAGTCTCATCAAGGTCTTGATAAGGATTCAGTAATTTCCTAGCTAACAAATGGTTATACTTTCATTTCTTTAATCATAATGCGTATAATCATACATGAACATAAAGTATGAGCAAGAATAATGTTTATTGTCTCCAGTTAATTCTCCAACCTAGATAAAGTGGAGATAAAGACAAATAATCTGAACCTAAGGCTATAACCTGCAGAAAACCAACCAGCTTTCTTCCCTCAAGAACTGTGCTTTTCTTCTTTCCTAATTTATCTCATTTTATAAGAGGTAAGTGGCAGCATCTTGACTGTTCTATTCTATTGTCTTAGATGCCTCAAATATTGGGAGAGGCAGGGGCAACATAAAATAAACACACTTCTTCCTATTCATCCTGCTACGAACAGCTGAAATATTATATATCTAAACATAAGAAGACTCTGAAAAGTGGGGAGAATATGGCAGATCAATTATAGACCTCGCAATCCCAAGAGCCACATAGCAGTGAGTTCTCCGATTTTCTTTTTGCCTCCCGTATCCTAGATTGGGTGCTGGGGAAGCTGGCAAC